TGCCGGGTCTATTGCACCCCCGTGTCTATTTCACCCCCGAGTCTATTTCAACTAATGTGTCGGCCCAAGGCTGTACCGGGTCTATTTCAGAACCGGGTCTATTTCATCTCCGAGTATATTTCAACTCATATGTCAGCACAAGGTTGTACCATAAATAGCGTCTCACACACAATCATACGATCATAAGCACTATTTAATAAGAGCATGAAGGAAGTGAATACAACACATACCTGCGATGTCAAATAGTGGAACTCGGATCCCTTCGGCCTGGGACTGCAATGCTCGGCTCCTTACCACAGGAACCTCCTCTTTGCCCTTGTGACCATCAATATTCCTCAAAGTGGCTGGATTAGGTGTCCTCACTGCTCCTCTCATCGACTCCGGACAATCGGCCTTCTTGTGGCCCACTTGGTTGTAGTGAAAACATATCGAAACCGATTCTCAAGGGCAATCCCTACTGAAATGACCCATCTGTACGCAACTGAAACATCCCCTCCCTATCTCCCAATAGCCTCCCATATGGGTCCTCCCACACTTGGTACAACGGCCTCGACCCTGCTGGCCTCCAAACGCGAATCCTGAGTCATGAGGCTCTTCGCCTGGCCCACTACGGTCTGAATCTGTTCTGCCTTCCTCTTCCCGAGGTGCTCCAAATCAATCCCCAGCTCACTGGCTCCAGCAATCACATCATTCAGGGTCTTACACCCTGACACGCTGACAAACTCCCTTGCCAACGACTACACTACGATAGCTGGCGCAACCTTCGCCTTAAACCGGGTCACAAACTCTTCCCAAGACATAGTCTCCAACTCAGTAAGCATAATAAATTGTGAAATCAATTCCTAACAACTCTTTGCCGCATGATGCAAGAGATCCAATGAAAATGAACCTTGGCTCCTATGGGATAGGGACTAGTGCGGAAGACACCTTCCATCTCCTTAATCCATCGCGAACTCAGGACCCTGGTAGTCCTCCCACCAATTGGCTCATCACCAGATCCTGAGCCAAAACCTGAACCTTCTCCATGCGTGCTCATCACCATTCTAAAAAGAAATCATACACATGATGAAAAGATACCCAAATAATCCTCATCCCACCGGCTTCCTAGATTCTTTGTGACTCTCCTCGAGTCGAGTATGGATCCTGTGCTTTCAGTAGTATGAACCCAATACTATCTTCCACACATATCTATACTTTTCTCAATAATCATCCCGAATCCTCCAAGTCACATTCTAAAACTGATACTCCAAATACCCGCTAAGCAGCGCAACCAACCCACTAAAACACTTCATAGGCTTTCTTAGGTTCCCGACCTCACCCTGCCATCAGCTGCTGAAGAACTCCAACAAATGTCAACTAACTACTTCATGAATACAATTACATGCCATAAAGCCTAAATAATCCTTCGACTAAAAGACTCAACCATACAACGGTTAGGCTCAAACGAGAGCTGCACAATAGAGTCAAATCCGTCACTCTGAGATTATTTTAACCTTTGCAACATGTGATTTAACATATTCACTAAATAGTTAACCCACATCACTAAGAGTTCCACAAAGCACAAAGCAAGCAACATTCGTGCAGTAACACTCCAAGCCATAAAACAAACAAAGAACACCCAAAGCTCACTTAGTACCTCCCATGCTATGAACTTTCATTCTCACTGCTGGTTTCCTTATGCATGCAAATTATACACAATACATGATCAAATAGACTGTCGAATAAAAGACTCTACCCTAGGACCACAACCAAACGAGGAACAGGAATAAGTCCAAATCAATCCTTACAGGGCTATGTGATCCTAACCGTATATAAATTTTAAATCATACACTTAGCAATTACTGTTACCAATAAATATTTCGAATCTAAAACCCCATTCAGTTCCTCTTAGGCTACAAGGCATCACATATCAGGCCAATCCATACAATCATCTGAAATCCATACTAGCATGCAATTCTAAAAGCTCAAACAATCAGGCATATAAAGGCATCTCTCCTAGCATAAAATCCTGAGAAGATCCCTAGCCTTAATCTAGCATGCAATTCTTATAACATATAACATATAACATATAACGTACAAACATGTATGAGTATTCTGGGAATCACTTACTTGATCTTGACTGATTGCACGCACCACCCCTTTCTTTTATTAGAAAATCCTTAAATAAAACATTTAATTTATGAAAAATTTACCAAACCCTCAGTTTGAGTTCAGACACACTCGAGAGTAAGCCCAAATCCCTCAAACCAAAGCTCTGATACCAACTAGTAACATCCTATAAATTATAAGGTATAAATTTACATTTTTAGTTCAACCATAAACACCATTTAATCGTTTCAATCATTTAAAAGTATAACAAAGTAAAATAGTTATCAGACTACAATTCCCAAAATCATTAAGTGCGGAAAAATGGGTGGATACGTTGCGATCAAGCTGGGCCGTTTCCTCGCGAACCTAGGAGTACCTGGAAAACATTTTAAACAGAGCAAAATAGTTATCAGAGTACAATTCCCAAAATCATTAAGTTCAGAAACATGGGTGGATACGCTGCGATCAAGCCGAGCCCTTCCTTCGCGAACCAGGAGTACCTGAAAAACATTTTAAACATAAACTATAAGCACGAAGCTTAGTGAGTTCCCCAAAATACTGCATACCACACATATCTGCCAACTCAAGGCTATGCCGGGTCTATTTCACCCCCAAATCTATTTCAACTCATGTGTTGGCCCAAGGCCGTACTGGGTCTATTTCACCCCGAGTCTATTTCAACTTATATGTCAGCACAAGGCTGTACCGGGTCTATTTCACCTCCGAGTCTATTTCACCCCATATACATATAGCAAACAGGAACACAAACGTATAACACATACAACAGAAGTCACAAAGACTACAAGCACACACTACAAAAAATATGTCATTTAATGGCATACAAAAAGTGCCACTAAAAACTCAAAAAAGTGCCATTAAAGGCATGTCAAAAAAAATATGCGGCACACATAATAACTGTTACTAGAAACGCTCCCACTAAAACCCATTAATGACACTTTTTGATTTTGTCGCTGCAACTTTTTAGGCTTTTAGTGGTACTTTTTTATTTTTCACGGTAGAAGAAAGGTTTTTTGTGGCACATTTTTTGTGCCATTGAATACTCATTTGATTCAATAATTCATTCTATATTTAGTTACACATTTTAAGATATTAGTGACACTTTTTTATTTGCCACAATATAAAAAAATATTTTATGACACATTTTGCACCGATGAATACTCACAAGATTCTAAAATTTAGGCTATTTATATCTATATAACTTTTTATCGATAATATACGATAAAACAAATAATCAAATTGTAGCACATACAAAAAAAAATACAAATTCTATTTTTTTCATCAATTATTTTAATCTTTTTGAATCAAATACCTAAGTAAATGTCAAATATGTATAAATATGAAACCAAATACATGCTAAACATAAAGTAACGAACAAAAATAAACAAATAATAATAAATAAATAAATAAACTTGAAACTTAATTGTAGGTAAGCTTCCCCAAACTCCTTGTTAGGTTGAATAAATTGTGTTATCTCATACTCTAAAATCAATACTAGCAATTTCCTGTCCAAAAACAAACAAAGACAATTCAAAATATAATTACATAAGTCATAGTTTAGAAACAAATAATATATCATTAAACACAAATCAATTATGTCTATAAGAACAAACAGAAGACAAAAGCACATAAAATTGATTACCATCATTATGGTGACTTTCGGAAGATGATCCCAGGTGGTTAACTGAAATAAATTAATAAAAACGTAAGTCAATACTATATGTAGTTTTCTATAAGGCTATTGTTCAAAATATTACCAAAATATCCACATTACCATATATACCATTAGGGTGTGTTTGTGGCTTATGGCTTAGGAACATAATCTCATATCTACAGAAAATGACATGTCCTTAAAATTTGTACGATTATGAAATAATAAAGTATGCGAAAAGCAAAAAGATACTTTCCTGATATCTTCCCTCAAGATAGACTCTAAATTCTGAAGAGGTGTCTATATATAAATAAAAAAAGAATATTTTCATTAGATCATATAAAATACATGCATACAAAATTAGCGTAAAAGAGACAAAATTACCCTTGTTTTATTGTGTATAAAAACCATTTAAGTTATTTTATGTGGACTAAACAATCGCAACCTAAAAAACATGAACCATACGATCAATAAACATATCATAAATAATGTATTAGAATAATAAAACTATAAATATATAGGTGCGAAAGCATATATGGAAAACAAATTTTAGAAGAGGTTTATTTGCAGCCTGTTCACACCCAATATCATGACACTACCTGTGTAACACAAACTTATTCAGAAAAATAACTTAAAAGTTATCAATGTATGTATTTTTTGTTATTTTCAGTTGTTACTAGCATGCAATTGGAAATTACCTCAGCAAAGCACCTTTAGGCAGTAAATCTGCATAGAAACAACTCTTGGTAGCAACTTGTCATGTAATTAAAGAATTCAACTTTTTTGAATAACAAATAAAGAATCCCCCGCCATCATAAAATAATCTTTCTCTAAAGGACAAATTGCAAGAAATAGCAAGATACTTTCATTTAGTTGTTTATTATTATTATAACATGCTACTTTCATTTCTTTTTGTTACTGCATTAACTATCAACTTTTTCTTATCAAAGCATTGTAGTTTGAAAAAGGTACATAGTTATAGCATTGGATGTTTAATTTTTTCCTTATTAGAACATTATACATTAAAAACTGAAAAAGCTCCTTCATTATAGCAGTTAGAATGAGATAACATTGCTATAACTGTGTGTGATTTTCAAAGGACAATGCTGTAATAGGAAGAAGTGGAATGCTATAATAAACAACTGAATAAAGGTACATTGATAAGACTTGCAATTAACTTGTTTTTTTGTGATCTGTCTTTATTCACCTAAAATATTTTGATGAATTCAAGAAAATATCTGAATTAGTGCAGTTGCAGATTGCCTTGCTCTAATAACATCACCAATGGGTCAAAAAGATGAGGGAAAGTAGGTGTCAAAATTTCCATACCAAAAGCATCATTTTCCATGAAATCAACAAACAATCTCCATCCCTTTGGATTCACATCAAAATGTTGACCAATTTTTGACAAAAAGATTTTACTTAGATACCCAATTCCATCTTTGAGCACCCAATTCACAGTTGCAGCAGTTGGAATCGCCCATTTACCCAATCCAACAACATATAACAAAGACTACAAGATAAAATTATCTAGTTAAACAAACCCTAACCCAAAATTGATGCAAAATTATATAATCAAATCTAATGAATCAAAAAGGGAAACCCAATCAACTAAACTTACTTGCGTGGCAAGAACACCAACTTGAGCAGCGATGCCCTGAATGCCTCTCCAGAGAGAATACTCCAAGTAATCACTAGTAACACTACATGGAAACCCTTCACGGAGCATCAAGCGCATGAAGAAAGTCAAAATTCTACTAGTTTAACTTGTTTGAAATCAAGTCCAATTGCATTGAAAGTACCATCCCCATCTATCAGATGGGTGGATGTGTGTGTGTGTAAGGGGGGGGGGGGCATGAACTGCTATAAAAATGTCCTGATTTTTGAGGACTCAGATTACTCAATTAAGAAGAGAATCAATGAGTTGAAAGTAATCTATCAGCATTTAAAGTAAGTGTTTATCAAAATAGAAGCGAAAACTTCCACAAGAATCATTATCGACTCACATCTGGACAATCACGGAAAAAATAGAAACAAGATAATGCGTTTCAGGACTATATTCAAAGTCAATTAAGAGAAAAACAGTTCAATCGTAGAAATTCGAAGAATAATTCCAACTCATCACGACGCAACTCAGTCAAGTTAGACATGAAAATTCACTGGAGCTAACCTCATGTCGTGAGAGGCCTCCTATCACGTTGTGAGCTCCAAGAAGCTCATTAGAAATGAGATCACTCATCCTCACGTCGTAAGACCCCATGTCTCACGTCCTGAGAACAGTCTGAAGCCAAAAGTCCAACTTTTAAGTCCTTAATCCATTAATCCTTGAACTCAAACTTTCCAGAGGGTCTTATAACCTCTTAATACATTAGAGAGTCGATGCTTTAAGACATATATGTCCAATACATGTCTAGATTTCATTTGGGTCAAAAGTTGAAAAAAATACATCCAACTTTCATGCAAGGTTCCAAAACTCAACCATTCACTAGATCTGAACTCTATATCACTTTTAAGACCCTAATAACACATAAAGTTGCCAACTTTATGGTTTCCATTCATCAACTTGCACAATCAAGAGGGAAAAGTGGGACAAAACTTAGATCTAGCCTCATATAACAATAAAGGAGGAAGCTTTGACACTTACAAAGATCCAACAACAATGTGAGGTGATGATGATGATGATTCCTTGCAAGCCTCAACACAATACCACCTTCATCTTCTTCTTCTTTTCTCCTTCTTCCAAACCAATAAAAGCTCCAAAATGACCAAAGATCAAGCAAGGAATGGAGGCAAGGATTTTCTGAGGTCAAAGAGGGTTTGGAGGCTGATAAGAACCCTAAAATGAGTTTAGATGTGTTTAAATATGAAGGAAACCCTAAAAGATCATGGGCTTGGGCTGCAGCAGCTCTCACGTCGTGATCATCTATGTCTCACGTCGTGAGATCAGTACCGTATAAAAGTTTTCATGTAGCCCATCTCACGTCGTGAGCCTCTATGTCTCACGTCGTGAAGCTTCCTTTTCTTCCAAAATCCAACTTTTTAACTCCTTGAAACCCTAATTTGATTCATCCTGGAAAACGGGTGTTACAATAGGATGCTATAATGGAAAGTATTATTTTTTTATATGTGTATTTGTATGTATAGAAAATTATATATGTAGTTTGTGTATTTGTATGCAATTTGGAAACTACAATGCTATGATGAAAAAAATGAAAAAAAAAGTAGTATGCTATAATGGGATGTGTATTATTTTTGTATATGTGTAATTATATGTATAGAAATGATGTATGTAGTTTGTGTGTTAATATGTAATTTGGATGCTATAATGATATAGATGAAAGAAATGAAAAAAACAAAGTAGGATGTTATAATGGAAAGTATTATTTTTTATATGTGTATTTATATATATAGAAAATTATATATGTAGTTTGTGTATTTTTATGCAATTTGGAAACTACAATGTTATAGATGAAAAAAATGAAAAAAAAACAAAGTAGGATGCTATAATGGAAAGTATCATTTTTATATATGTATTTGTATGCAATTTAGAAACTACAATGCTATAATGAAAAAAAAACAAAGTAGGATGATATAATAGAAAGTATATTATTTTTGTATATGCAATATGTGTAACTTTTATTCATATTGTAATTTTGCAGGCTAACTTTTATTTATATTGTGTTCTATATTGTACATCTTGTAATTTGGCAGACTATATATGGGGATTAGTTGGGCGATACTCTTGTACATGATGGCGGATGTTATGGGCCTAGGACATGGAGGTAATGGAGCCGGGGATCCATCACCCCAAGTAGGCTTTAGCCGTGGACAACACGAACATGATGGTAAGTCTTATTATGATATATTTATTAGCAATTTTTATTCATTATTATAAGCTATCATGACTATATTTTTACTATATTTTTCAGCCGAGCTTCCTAAAAAAAGAAGAGGACTATCAAAAAATATCTATAGTAACACTTGAACCCTGGTATGTTTCATTATTGCCCTTGTATTATGTAAAAGTTACATTTGGTCCTTGTGTTGTACACGGGGCGTACCACATGGTACGCTTGGCGTACAAGCTGCGAAGCGAGTATACGGGGCGTACCACATGGCACGCTTAGTGTACTCATGCAAGGCTTGGACGGGGTTCCAGAGGTGTACGCGGGGCATACGTAAGGAATCTTAAAACCCTAATTTTCGAGGTTGGACACTATATAATTACCCTTATGGCTTATGAAACCCTTATTTCTTAGTCTCCTCTGACCCTTTAGCCTCATATTCGAAACCCTAAGCCTCTCTTTGTGTTTTGAGCTCATTGTGTCCATTTTGGTGTGCTTTACTCCATATTCAAGAAGTAGAAGCTTGGTGCAAGGTGGTGGATAAAGGAGAAGCTTGTGGATCTTGATTATTTGCTTCATTTCCAGCTTGTTTGAGGTATAAAGCTATGAACTTGTTCATTTATGGCTTAGATCTATTATATATGAGTTTTGGTCCCTTTTTGGCCCTAAGAATGAGATCTAGTGGTTTGATACCACTCCAGGAGCTATGAGTTGGCACTCTTGGTGTTTCTGAGGTTCTAGATTCATAAAGTTGGCACCTTTATGGTTTAGATTCATCCATTCAAGAGTTTATGTTCATTTAATGAAAGTAGAGTGTTATTGTAACATCCCAATTTTCAAGGCCAAAAATTTCATTTTTAATTAAGTAACTCATAAAATAGTTTACCAAAAACATCACCAACGTCAAATCAATTTATAAAACTGTAACAACGCGTCTCAAAACCATATCATCCATAGTAATAAAAATCAGAGTACAATCCGAAGAAATCTCATAGTGCGGAAATCATGCGTGTATGTGATGTGCCGCTACCGCGCCGGCTCCTTCCCCTTCGCTGAAGAAGTACCTGAAACAAAACTGACAACTGTAAGCACGAAGCTTAGTGAGTTCCCGCATCATACCACACACCATACAATAACATACTGTCAGGCAATTCTGGGGTGCCTGACTACCCAGGTCAAGCTATTCTGGGGTGCTTGACTTACCCAGGTCAAGCCATTCTCGGGTGATTGACTTACCCATCGGTCCTTACGACTGACATACGAGGACTATTTCACCTCCTACTACTACCACATAATATCATAGCATAAACATACTGTCAGACAATTCTGGGGTGCCCGACCTACCCTTCGGTCCTAACGACCGAACTTGGGGACTATATTCCCCCTACTACCACTAGTACATATAACATATCATGCTAGCACATAAACATATAAGGTAGTAGCAAACCCAGATGAATATCACAAAGACAATCATCCAACATACAACTCCTACTGGTGGGCTGGCATTGTGGCCGTAGACCCACCGCTACTGGAAGGTAACTCACCTCGATGTCGCGTAGTGTCTGCACTGATCTTAATGTAGAAGTCAACTCTCCCCGACTCCTCAATCCCTACACGAAAACTCTTCCAAGTCATTACATAGAATATACAACCCTAACCAGGGTCAACTCAAGCTCAGATAGAGTCAACATTGGACAAAGTCAACATCCAGTTGACCCGACTCGCCGAGTTGGCCTACCAACTCGTCGAGCCCATACTCCTCTAACCCGATACAATTCCTGTCTCCGCTCGTCGAGTCTAGGGGAAGAACTCGACGAGTTCTCCTCCAATCACCATCGGGACCATCTTCATCCGACTCGCCGAGTTCGACCTTGAACTCGTCGAGTTCATCTCCCTCCTACGAATACATCCAGTCTATGACTCACCGAGTTGTATGAACAACTCGTCGAGTTCATCTTCAAGTTTGGGAGATTGCCTTGGACTCGCCGAGTCTGTTCATACACTCGCCGAGTCCTATGATTCCCAGGTCTCTTGACGCGTCTAAACAACTAAGGGACTTTCCATCTTAACAACTGGTCCATCCACAGAAGGGGTTTGGTGGTCAATACACCCCGGCTCGTCGAGTCCCAAGAACGACTCGTCGAGTCTAACCTTGACCATTACTATCCAGTCGATTTAAATGGGTCTTAACACCTCAAAACCATAGATCTGGCCTTCTAATGTCCATTTTACACGTAAAGCTCCAAACTTGGTACACATGCAAGGGGTCTTTGGCCCAAAAAGCCATAAAAGATGGCCTCCAAAGTGCATGGGGTGTTCATGGCAATAAAATGGGCACCTTTGTGCCATAAAACCCCCAAATAGACCTGGATTTAAAGCATACACTGACTTCCAACACTAAATCCCGAATACAACCTCTCTAGGGCTTAGAAAGATGAAGGAAAAAGGCCAAAAAATCAAGATCTATAGACAAAGGTTCAGCTTCATGCCTCCCATAAGCTGAAAACGAGCTTCAAACTTTGGATCTTCTTGTTTTCCCCTTGGTCTCACAAGTTCCTTCCCTCTTCTCAAGCTTCACAACCCACCAAAAAGCACCAAAATGGCCTTAGAACACTAAAAAACGGCTAGGGTTTCGATATGATGTCCTCTGGGAGTATAAGGGACGATGGAGGCTGAGATAAGGTGTTTAAATAGGGTGAAAACCCTCAAATTTAGGGTTTCACTCAAACAGCGCCTACTCGCCGAGTCGGTCTCCCGACTCGTCGAGTAGGTCACTTAAACTCCCGCGGATCACGACTCTACTCAACGAGTTGGGCCACCAACTCGTCGAGTCTTAGAGAAAACACATAAATTTCTTTAATTAAATACTTACAAGGAATCGGGTGCTACAAAT